GAGTACTGAGACCAAGGTGTTGGCCCTGGCTATGACCTCATCTGAGGGCTGGGTCCTCGGCAAGCACCATGGTTGTTGGCAGGATTCAGTTTCTGTCAGTCTGGGTCCCCATTTCCTTGTTGGCTGTTGGTGAGGACTGCTCTCAGCTCCTAGAGGCTGCGCTAGGGCCTTGTCACAGGGCAGTTCACGTGGTCATTCACTCATTGCAGGCAAGCAGAAGTGTCTTCTGCTTCAATCTCTTAGTTGAGAGGTGCTCACCTGATTAGGTCAGGCCCACCTATAATGATCTCTCTAATTTAAAGTCAACTGATTACAGACTTAATTACTTCTGAAAAGTCTCTAAACAGCAATGTCTAGATTAGCGACTGATCAACTAACTGGGAGGTAAGTGCACTCAGTGAACAAAATACCGGCTCTTCCACAAAATACCGACTTCTGTGCATGGGCCACAAAGTTTCAATCGCACTGTACGTGCACACCCGCACGTGGTATTTTGTGGAAGAGCCACACTCAAGGGGCCAAAGAGCCGCATGTGGCTCGCGAGCCGCGGTTTGCCGACCACAGCACTAGGGGAATTTTTGGGGCTGGGCCACTAAGAATACTGCCCATCACAGTAGTTCTAGCTCTACCACTTTTTTTCCCTTTCAAACAAGCATGCAGATTCACCCTTTCCCCAACCTTTTGAGAATCACCAAAATAGTGTGAAAGCTATTTATCTGAACTTAAGATATATTCAGCTCTATAGCTTTATCTGATTACCAGAGCTTATTGTAAGAAAATTCCAAATAATACAGAGATGTCATGTAAAGAGTATAAATCACACATAATGTCTTTACAACCAACAGCCTTTGTTAGATTTGGCATAGGTCCAAACTAATCTTTTCAATGTACTTACTAATATACATATGTAATACATTTATTTACTTTAGATCTATACTAGGTCAAATCATCCTAGAACCTGTAACAGTGTCCTTTTTCTTAACAACTCATACTACTTTTACCCTTTTTTGAAATTTGTAAAAATTAATCTCTTTAATAGACTGTGTGTTTTGTGACTAAATTACCTGGGTCTGTTTGTGCTCACCATCATATTCCCACAGAATACTTCTGAATGAATGAACCAAACAGTATGGAAAATTACTTTTGACCCTTGACCTACTGATTCATTCATTGATACTTACTGAGAGCCCACTATTTGAATCTTTCAAGGCTGCTACAAGTATTATGTGCCACATTTATTCAGCCAGTGTACTCTTTTTAGTTGTTGTTAATCCTCACCTGAGGATATTTTTTCCATTGATATTTTAGAGAGAGTGGAGGGGTACAGAGAGAGAGAAGCATCGATTGATTGCCTCCTGCCCGCAACCCCGCCCCCCCACCCCCGGGATCTAACCTGTAACCCAGGCACAGTTCATGTCTTTGACCAGGAATTGAAGCCAAGACCCTTCTTTGTGCTGGCCGACGCTCTAACCATTGAGCAACATCACCAGGGCAGGGAATTTGCTTTTTAAATGTATATTTCCTAACAGAATGTAATACTTACCTCGAAGATAGGATTTCCCCCAAATCCTATGTCTCATGTTTGTTGTGAGAAACTAAATTTACTATGTTTGTTATAGAAAACTGCACTTGTTAGAATGTTTTAAGAAATTGGGCTTATTCATCTAAGTTATAATAGTCATTAGTGTGCCAGTGTGTACAATTTACCATCTTGATCTCGTTAACTTCATGCTGTAACTCTATCAAGTCCCTTGTTTTTCAGAGAGCACCCTTCCTCTTTGCTTTCTCCCTACAGGCCTGTTTGACTAAAATAAATCTCACGATTCTAAAACACAATGCAAAGCATGTTTCTTTGTCAACAATAACACATATGTATTGAGCACTTCTAAAATGTCGGGCACATGCTGAGCTCCTCTGCACACACCATCCTGACCCTCACAACAGGCAGGTACAGGGTGACTCCTCTCATTGGTGAAGCTGGGCAGCTTCGCTAACAAAACACCACTAGCAAGTTGTATTATGATGAGCTATTTGGCTCTGAAAATGGAAAGCTCTGGGGAAAAGACAGCCACAAAGCAACGTGCAAATATCTGACTGGATTCTTTAGGGTAGAGTGATTAGCACCAAGGAGCTAAGGACCAATGGGTACAAGATTTTCTGAATATAATGCAACGTATGCACAGAGAAGGAATGCGAGCACTGGATGGGTTAGAATGGATAGCCTTTGAGGACATTTATCACTCTTGAGCCCACTGTTCTCTTCCTCCTCTGTATTTCCCACTTCTCTCAATTCATCATTCTCTCCGACCTGGACCCATATACTATGCATTCATTCTTTTTTCCACTCAACAAGCATTTGCTGACCCGTATGGTAGCCACTAGCCACAGGTGGCTATCTAAATTTATTAAAATTAAGTAAAATAAAAAACTCAGTTCCAAAACTGTACTAACCACATTTCAAGTGCTCAATAACTGCATGTGGCTAGTGGCTACCACACTGGAAAGTTCTACTGGACAGTGCCGTCAGATAGCTGAGGTAGTGATGGAGCCACAAGAATGAAAAAGCTGAGTTCTTGACCTTGAGGAGCTTACAGCCTGGAGCTGAGGAGCTTACATTACTTTTTTTTTTTTTGGTTTTCATTTGCTGATGTTTATTTCATTTATCTACAAAACTAGGGACCACAATAACAGAATTCTGTATGAATATAAGATAGAAATATAACATTAATTTGTTTTATTGGCCTAGTAATAAGCAACTAGATAGAGAAATGGGGAAAATATACTATTTTTAGTAGAAAAATATCTATAAATTTTTTCTCTCTCTTTATTAAGGTATTACATATGTATCCTTATCCCCCCATTCCCCCACTCATGCCCTCACCCCCCTGTTGTCTGTGTCCATTAGTTAGGCTTATATGCATGCACACAAGTCCTTTGGTTGACCTCTTCCCCTTACCTCTACTTTCCCCTACCTTCCCTCTGAGGTTTGACAGTCTGATTGATGCTTCTCTGTCTCTGGATCTGTTTTTGTTCATCAGTTTATGTTGTTCATTAGATTCCACAAATGAGTGAGATCATGTGATATTTATCTTTCTCTGACTGGCTTATTTCACTTAGCATAATGCTCTCCAGTTCCATCCATGCTGTTCCAAATGGTAAGAGTTCCTTCTTTTTTACCGCAGCATAGTATTCCATTGTGTAGATGTACCACAGTTTTCTAATCCACTCATCTGCTGATGGGCACTTAGGCTGGTTCCAAATCTTAGCTATGGTAAATTGTGGTGCTATGAACATAGGGGTGCATATATCCTTTCTGATTGGTGTTTCTAGTTTCTTGGGATATATTCCCAGAAGTGGGATCACTGGGTCAGATGGGAGTTCCATTAAAAAAAAAGATACATTACTTCTTCAGGGCTAACATTATTGAGCTCTTGCTGTCAGTTTTCTACTTTCTGTGACCATCAAGGTGCATCCTCCTAACACCATAAACTAGATACCATCATTACGCTCACTTTAGCGAGAGAGTAACAAGTTAAATAACTTGACCAACGGCGGGGACCCATTTGGGGATCTTAGGGGAAGGTTAGAAGTGCAGAGGGATTAACCCCAAGTCTGCCTGGCCCATGCTCCTACAACATGTGGACCACAGATTATCCACATCAAAACTCCCCCGGTGCGCATGCAAGGCAGGTTCCTGAACCCCATTAGGAACTCTGTGGGCGGGTCCTGGGAACCCAGGTGTGAATGAAGGTCCCACCTCCGCCCAGCGATTCTCTCCTGTTCACTGAATAGGTTCGAGCACCCTGGTCCACACCGCCTGGCCATTGCACTGCTTCCCCCACGCGGCCCCACACTTGCCACCGACTGCGGATGGACGCTGGCGGCCGCGCCGCATAATCATAAGCAGGCCCTCCAGGCCTGTTTCCCGGGTATAAACGGGGGCTCCGCGGGTCAGCGGCGCGGCCGCCAGGGGGCCTCGCGCGTCAATCACCCCCGCAGCCCGTCCCTGCCCCGCCCCGTCCTGGCCCCGCGGCGCCGCCTACCCTCGCAGATCCGCTCCCACAGGGTTCTGCCCGGTGGCTCCGCCGGCCGCTCGAGGGCCGCGGGGCACGCGGTGGGAACGGACTCCAAGGAGCCGGCCCGCTCCTCGTGCTGCGCGGCGCGGCTGCCCACCCTCCCGGGCGCCGCCATGGTCGCGGTTTCCACGGCAACCGCACTCCCAGCCCGGCCACGACCCGGAAGAACTGGAACGCGCGGGCGACGGACCCGCGTCTCAGGTTCGATTTCCGGGTCACGGTGGAGGGTGCTCTGTGGCGGCCGAGCGGGGTGGCCTGCAGGTGAGGGCAACGACTGGGGCGGCGGAGAACCTCAGGGGCGGGGGGTGGGGGGACTCGCGCGGCGATCAGAGGACACAGCGGGCGGCCGGCACCCCAAGTCCACGCCTCCCAGCCCTCGGGGCGCCCGCCCGGCCTGAGGCCGCCGCCTCCAGGAAGTCCTCCCTCCTGGGAGCCGGCCCCCGCTGGACCCTCCCCTGGTGTCTGCGCGGAAGCCGTGGCGCGGCGGAGCCGTGGGGCGCCCAGCCTGGCCCCCTGCGCGCCTGCTTCCCGCTCGCGCTGTTTCGCCAGCTGCCGGCGTTGGGACCCAGGGCAAGTGAGTCCAAGCCTCGCTTTGCGGGCCTGAGCTACCCGAGAAGTTAAAAGCTTTTGCAGGAAGCGTTTGCGTTTGCAGGAGGCACGCTTCAGGCCCTTTGCTGGTCCTTGAAGGAGTGAAGACTTTGGGGATCCTCGGTGCTGGGGAGGGTGGGTGCCACGCGTTCTGTCGGCGGAGAGGAGGGTGCAGTGGACTCTCCCCGCGGCCCTTGGTGTTCATTAGGCGTCTGGGCCGCTCCTCCCTCCCAGGCGCTCTGGGCTCCCTTGACACCACCTGGGCAGGTTTGCTCCTTCTCCCTTCCCTTTGCCAGCCCCTCTTCCTCTGCGCTCCGCCCCCCCCCCCCCCCCCCTTAAATGTCGTTATTCCCTAAGGTTCTGTCTCAGACTCTCTGTTCGGCGCTTAATTATCATCCATGTATTCCAAAACTTATGTCGCTGGTGCCGGCCTCATCAGCCCTCAGCCTCATATATCCACCTGCCCACCCAACCTCTCCACTTGGGTATCTCAGGGCATCCATTCAAACCAGCATGCCTCCATCTGCATCACCCCCTTCAGTTGCTTTGTCTCAGGGATTAGTGCCAACACCCTGCAGTTACCAAGCTGGAAAACTTCTTCAGAAAGTTTCCTGACAATTGCCAGTCCAGGTTAGAAAACTTCCATTACCCTATTACCTGTTCCTAGAGGCCTGGTGCAGGACATTCGTGCACTCAGGGGTTGGGGGGTCCCTCAGCATGGCCTGCGCCCTCTGGCAGTCCAGGAGCCCTGGGCGGGGACAGGAGCCCTGGGCGTGGATGTCCAACTGCTGGGGGGGGGGGGGGGGAGGCTCTGGGCATCTGGCTGAGCGGCTCTCTCCCTGTGGGAGTGCACTGACCACCAGGGGGCAGCTCCTGCCTTGAACGTCTGCCCCCTGATGGTCAGTGCGCATCATTGCGACCTGTCGTTCTGCCATTTGGTCAATTTGCATATTAGCCTTTTATTATATAGGACTAGAGGCCCGGTGCACAAAAATTTGTGCACTCGGGGGGAAGGGGGGGTCCCTAAGCCTGGCCTGTGCCCTCTCGCAGTCTGGGACCCCTCAGGAGATAACGCCCTGCTGGCTTAGGCCTGGTCCCGGGTGGCAGAGGGCAGGCCTAATCCCTAGGTACAGCCCCTGGTTGGGCTCAGAGCAGGGCCGATCAGGGGGTTGGGGCGCCGCACCCTGTCACACACAGAGCCGCAGGGCGATCAGGGGGTTGGGGAGCTCCCCCGTATCAGGCACAGAGCAAGGCTGATCAGGAGGTTGGGGCTCCTTCCCCTGTCACGAACAGAGCAGGGCGGATAGGGAGGCTGTGGCCCCGCCCTCTGTCACACACAGAGCCGCAGGGCAATCAGGGGGTTTGGGTGCTGCCCCCTGTCACACTGATCCCGGTGCCGGAAGGCCTCTTGGCTCCGCTGATCCCGGTGCTGGGAGGCATATTACCCTTTTGCTATATAAGATAGAGGCCTGGTGCATGGGTGGGGCTGGCTGGTTTGCCCTGAAGGGTGTCCTGGATCAGGGTGGGGTTCCCCACTGGGGTGCCTGGCCAGCCTGTGTGAGGGGATGATGGCTGTTTGCAGCTGGTCACACACCCTTCAGGGTGGGGGTCCCCACTGGGGTGCCTGGCCAGTCTGGGTGAGGGGGTGATGGCTGTTTGCAGCTGGTCACACACCCTTCAGGGTGGGGGTCCCCACTGGGGTGCCTGGCCAGTCTGGGTGAGGGGCTGAGGGCTGACGCTCCCAACTGCTCCTTTTTTTCTTTTTTTTTTTTTTATTCTGGGCCAGCTTTAGCTCTGTCTCCAGCTCTGAGGCCTCTGCTGCTGAAAGCAGGTATGTGGTTTGTTTGGGTTCTGTAATCAAAACAATGTATAACTCCAGCTCTGGGATCCCGGCTCGCTGAAAGCAGGTTTCTGGGGTTTTGTTTAGCTTCTGTATTTGTTACAATGTTTCGAACTGCAGGCTCAGAGGCCGGCAAGGCAGGCAGGGAACGTTGGTTTCCTCTGTCACTGAAGCAAGCAAGCCTCATGTTAGTTTCAAGCTGCCTGGCTAGGGCTGCCATCTTGGCTGGCAGTTAATTTGCATATCACCCTGATTAGCCAATGGGAAGCGTAGCGGTCGTATGCTAATTACCATGTTTCTCTTTTATTAGATAGGATTACACCCCTTTTCCTCCCACACCTACTTGCTTGTTGATGGCAGGTGTTTCATCTTGTTCACCTTTGTATCTTCAGGGTGCATCCCTCATTCAGTGAGTACACATGAGCACCTGTTATGTGCCAGGTACAGAGTTAGGCTCTGGGAGTAGAGACAGACCTGGCTTTATTGTTCTTTGCTTTATTGCACTTCACAGGTGTTGTGTTTTTACAAATTGAAGGCAACACCCTCCACCAGCAAAAAGGTTGCTGCTTGCTTTATGGTGCTGCTCCCTTCATTACAGTGGTCTGGAACCGAACCTGCAAAGGCCTGCCTGCGCACCAGCAAACAAGACAGGAGTGAATGAGTGGGTGTGCCCTGTCTCTCAGGTGCTCGGGAGCCGTTATAAACGCACCTGAGCTCTGCCTCAGGCCTGGCAGGTCCAGTGTGAGGCCCTGGGCTCTGATGCCGGAGAGCCGCAAGCTGAGAAGCTCCTGGCCTTGCCCTCCCACTGTCCAAACCCCCCGTGAGGGCACATTGTTTCTGGCTTCTGGGTTATCCAGGGAACAGCAGGAACTGGGTGCTGACTAGAGAGAGAAATAGCCCAGCCAGAAGCTGAAATGTGTTGAGGGCACCAGCCCCTTCTCTCAGGCACCTCCTTGACATTATCCCTCCCCCTCCCCCAAATGCTGGGAACTCTAGGTTGCTGTGTGTCACCTTCAGTCACTAAATGTGAGAAATTTATTTGAAAATTAAGAAGCTTGCAGGCTGGATGTCCTCATTCTCCACCACTCCACCACGATTTAGTTCAACCCCTCTTTTATGGATGGGGAAACTGAGGCCTGAAGAAGCCACTGGCTATGAGGCAAGAGTACCAGAGTCACCACTTGAACTCTAACTGGAGTTCTTCTCACCATACCTCGCTGCTGCTCTTATTACGAGTTACAGGGAAGTAATAGGGATAATAAGTCAATGGAGTGCAGGTTGGGGGAATTAGTTTCCAGACATAAAGCGGAAGAGCTGTTTAGATGAACCAAGTTAACGGGTTAATTTTTCCACAGTCACTGTGGTGGGAATGGGCAAGAAGGACTGGCCTCAGGGTTACCATACCCTTCACCCATAAAAGGGGAGCCCTTGGAGGCAGTGCCTGATTTTTCTGGTTTGACTGCAGTTCTACCCTCTGGCAGGCACAGGGTAGGCCGGTGGTAAATTTCTGTTGAATGGCCAGGCTTAAGGACTTGAGGAGAAGGGGGTTAGGAAAAGAGTCAACAATGTGGCAGGCACTTTCCTTGGGTTATTTTCTTTATCCTTTGCTACAGCTCGTTGAGAAGCGGTGTTTCCCCCATTTTCCAGATGGGGATTAAAACTCAGGGAGAAAAGGTGAATGACTTAAAGTCATTGGTTTGGATTTGAGCCTGGGGCTGAGTGAATTTTGGCTCCATTCTACTTCTTTGGCCATATTTGCCCAGGCTCTACAGGAATCATGCCCATTTTCCCATTCCCTACCATTTCAGACCATCCACGCAAAGAAACATGACTTTTGGCAAGACCTAGGTGAATTGTACACAGGCTGGCGTGGTGTAGGTATAACTTGTACCTTTTTTTTCTTTTTCAGGAATGATCACCAAGACCCACATAGGAGACCGGGGCCTTCGGCTTCCAGAGAAAAACAAGAAGAAGAAGGTGGTGGTTAAAGAACCAGAGGCTCAGTACTTGGTTTTGAACAGTAACAGTTATAACACTGAGGTCTGTCCCACCACAGCCATATCGCCCACGAAGAGTGGGATCCAGGGCCAGGCACCCGAGACCCCTCTGGTGAAGAAAAAGAAGAAGAAGAAGAAAAAGCAGGAGTACAGCACTGTCTGTGAGGAGCATCGAGAACCTGAGACCACGTTCCGTGCCAGGCAGACAGAGACGTCTCCCAGCCCCAGGACACAGGCTCTCGCTCCACCCAAGTTCCTCAATGGGGAGAAGAAAAAGAAGAGGAAGTCCTCATGGCCTCTGGCTCTGTCTCCTGGTGTGAGGGTGAAGACCTCCCTGGACCCCAGACAGGGCGAGGAAGTGACCAGAGTTGGCAGAAAGCTCAAAAAACACAAGAAGGAGAGTAAGGCCCAGGAGGCGGCAGCCTTCTCGGCCAGGGACGCCCTGCATGCATGCCCAGTGGGAAAGAATGACCAGCAACGGGCAGCCTTGGGGCAGAAGAGGAAGCAGGGAGGCCCCAGGGAACACAACGTGAACCAGAAGAAGAAAACGAAAACCCACCAGGAGGAAGACACCTCCCTTGACCACCCCAAGCCTTCCAGGTCCATGGAGAGCAGTCCTAGGAAAAGATGTGCAAAGAAGCCAGTCAAAGTTGAGGCTTCAGAGTACATCGCGGTAGGAGACAGCCTCAAGGCCCCTGCGAAGAAGAAAATGAAGCCCACTAAAAGGGCCGAGGAGCCAGGCACTGAGGAGCCAGCTCTGAAGAGGAAGAAAAAGAAGAGGAAGGAGAGCAAAGTAGCAGAACTTTGGAAGGAGGTAGGTTGTCCTTCAGGGTGGAAGTTGGGAGTGTGTGTGTGTGTGTGTGTGTGTGTGTGTGTGTATGTGTATGTATGCATGCGCACGTGTACTCAACTTTTTAGTGTCAGAACCTTGTTTAAACTGACTTAAGCCAGAAGAGAGATTTATTGACATGTGCAACTGACTTCCTGAGAGGTGAATCTGGCCCAAGAGGAGGGGCTCCGTTAATACTGACTGAAGGACGAACCCTGGGAGCTGGGTCAGCAGGAAGGTGTCTGTAGGGCCTGTGCTCAGCTCTACCAGATGCAATTGGGAAGGGCTGTTGTCATTACAAAGGACCAGGGGTAAGGGGGCCGGCCTGAGGTCTCACCGTCAGAGTCCCTCAGAGGCTGAGGCCAGTGAGCACAGCCATGTCAGAGAGGCAGCCAGCAAGGATGTCCCCTGGGAGCTGAGACCTGTGAGGGCTTCGGCCTTTCGTGCAGCTGAAGCAGCAAGTACAGAGGCCCTGGCAGAGCACAGAGGCTGGGGTGGCGGGGGCTCCGTGACAACCATGGAGGCCGCAGAAGTCTGGATTTTGTGCAGGTAAGATGGAAGCCCTAGGAGTCTTGGGGAGTGGTAACATATTCTGACTGAGGTTTTTTTAAAGAAGATAGAGTTGACATAAAGTTGTGTATGTTTAAGGTGTACAGCGTATTCTGATTGAATTTTTAAAGTTCACCTGAGTTGCTTATGGGATGGACCAAGGTTGGGGGTGGGGAAGCAGGAGTTAGACACTCATGGTTTTCTAGGCAGGTGAGAAGGCAGCAGCCAGGACCTGTGAGTGGGGGTGGGCGGTATACAGGAGAATTTAGTAGGCTTGTGTTTGCTGGCAGCCCCACTCCCCACACCCATCAGGACCCTGAGCCCACCTCTGCATTTCCTGACTCTTGCTATGTGCCCCCTCTCCCCTCCCCCCCCCACACACACACCATAGATGTGGCCCTTGGCCTCTCACTGGTTTGGTGTCACCCTGGGAGGTCAGGTGACTTGTGGCAGGAAAGGTCATGCACCTAGCCTGAGTTGAGAGACCTAGGTTAGTGTCAGCCCTGCCCCTGATCTGTGGGGGTGACCTCATGATGGTCACTCTACCTCTCTGAACCTTGGTTTCTTCATCTGTCAAATAGGTCAGTGCCATGGTTTTGAGGGGAGAATCATGGAAGAGAAAGGTGTCAGATATTCTGTAGGTGATGGGGTTTGGGGTGGTGCTGGGATCTTGGGTCTTTTCTGGAATCTGTCATGATCTCACCCTGCAGGGCTACTGGGGCAGAGGCCAGCAGATGCTTGACTCTTACTCCCTTTGCTCTCCTGTGCAGGAGCCTGACACAGACTTAGAGGTGGTGCTGGAGAAGAAAGGCAACATGGACGAGGCACACATAGACCAGGTATGGCCCCCTCCTCATCCCTCTCCCATGTGTCTTGCCACACCCCTCCTATCAGGCCACAAGGTCCTGGTCTTGGAAGTGCCCACGACTCCAAAGGCTGCCAGGCCAGCTTCCATGGCCCACCTTCCATGCGCGGAACTCTGCCTTCTCCATGTCGTGGTGGGAGTCCCTCACTGCCAGCCTGGCTGCAGGCCAGCTGGTGATTCAGAGCCTCAGGGTGAGGCTCTCCTCCATGCTCACTGCATGGGGAGAACCTAAAACCAGGGCTGGGAAAAGGGCTAGCATCCTTGAGAAGCATCCTTTGGTCTTCGCCTATATGAGGGTCAGTGAGGTTAGTGACTGCCCTAAGTCACCTCATTAGTAATGGGTGGTTCTCAACCTTCCTAATGCTGCGACCCTTTAATACAGTTCCTTATGTTGTAGTGACCCCCAACCATAAAATTGTTTTCGTTGCTACTTCATAACTGTAATGTTGCTACTGTTATGAATCGTAATGTAAATATCTGATATGCAGGATGTATTTTCAGGGGTTGTGACCCACAGGTTGAGAACCGCTGGCTAAGGCCGAGTCTCTGTGGTTACTTTGCTGTACTGCCAGGGTTGTGAAATACCCCAATTCCAGAAAGTCTAGCTCCCACTTACTTATCAGGAGATTGGGGCTAGACAGGAATGGATGCTGGCCCACACCAGAACCACTTCTCTCAATGCTCCCAAACTGAAGACAGGAGGTGCATCATGTGGGCTGGTGCACCCAGCTTTTTTTTTTATTATTAAATATATTTTTATTGACTTTAGAGAGGAAGGGAGAGGGGGAGAGAGAGAGAACATCAATGCGAGAGAAACATTGATTGGTTACCTTCCATATGCACCTCAACCGGGCATTAAACCTTCAACCTGGGTATGTGCCCTGACCAGGAATTTAACCAGCGACCTTTCAGTGCATGCATGACCTTTTGGTACATGGAACTACACTCAGCCAACTGAGCCACACGGACCAGCTTTTTATTTATTTACTCGAGGCCTAGCGCACGAAAATTCGTGCAATTGGAAGGTGGGGGTGGTGGTAGGGGGTGGTCCCTCAGCCCTGCCTGCGCCCTCTTGCAGTCCGGGAGGCCTCAGGATGTCCGACTGATGGCTTAGGCCCGCGCCCCATCGCCGTCCCCTCCCTCTGCCCACTGGCCTGGTGCCGCCTGCTCGCCTGCCCCCCCACCCCCCACCCGCCAAGCAGTCTGTCCACTGTTGCAGTCAATTTGCATACTACACTTTTATTATATAGGGTTTTTATTGATTTTAGAGAGGGAGTGGGAGAAAGAAACATCAATGATATGAGAGATAATCATCTATTGACTGCCTCCTGCATAACCCCCACTGGGGATTGAGCCTGCAACCCAGGCATGTGCCCTAGCCTGGAATTGAACTATGACTTCCTGGTTCATGGGTCAACACTCAACCATGGAGCCACACTGGCCACACTGTACCCAGCTTTTTTTTTTTTTTTTTCCACTCATCTGTTGATGGGCATTTGCATGGCTTCCATATATTGGCTATTTATTGGCTATTGTAAATAATGCTGCATTGAATATAGGGGTGCATATATCTTTTCAAATTAATGTTTTGGATTTCTTCCTATACCCAGAGGTGGAAATGTTGGGTCAAAAGGTAGTTCTGTTTATTTTTTATTTATTTTTTTTATTAATCCTCCCCCAAGGATATTTTTCCATTGATTTGTTTTAGAGAGAGTGGAAGGGAGGGGGAGAGATGGAGAGAGAGAAACATCAGGATAAGAGAGACACATCAATTAGTTGCCTCCCACATGCACATCTCCCCCCTCCACACACCCCCTACCGGGGCCAGGAATCGAGTCTGCAACTGAGGTACCTGCCTTTGGGATTGAACCTGAGACCCTTCAATCCGTGGGCCAATGCTGTATCCACTGAGCCATACTGGGTAGGGTGAGATCTGTTTTTAATTTTTCACCAACAGCTGTTTGTTAATTTATTGATGGTAGCCATTCTGGCACTTGTGAGGCGATAGCTCATTGTGTTTTTAATTTGTATTTCCCTAATGATTGCATTTAATTTGCAATATTACTATGTCCATATGTCCTCTTTGGAGAAGTGTCTATTCAGGTCTTCTGCCCATTATGTTTTAATAAATTGATTAGGGTGACATTGGTTAATAAAATTACACAGGTTTTAGGTGTACAGTTCCATAATACATCATCTGTATATTGTGTTGTGTATTCAACACCCCAAGTCAAGTCTCTTTGTGTCACCATTTATTCCCACTATACCCTCTTCTACCTTCCCTGATCCCCCTTCTCTCTGGTAATCACCATATTGTTGTGTGTGTCCATGAGTTGTTTTTTGTGTTGTTATTTTTATTAATCCCTTCCCATTTTTCACCCGGCCCAGTAACCCCTCTCAAAATGAGTGTTTCTATTTTGTTCATCAGTTTATTTTGTTCATTAGATTCCACATATGAGTGAGATCATATGGTACTTATCTTTCTCTGACTGGCTTATTTCTGTCAGCATAATGCTCTCCAGGTCCACCCACTCATTCACAAAGGGTAAAATTTCCTTCTTTTTTATGGTCAAGTAGTATCCATTGCGTAAATATTTCACAACATTTTTATCCACTCATCTACTGATGGGCACTTGGGCTGCTTCTATATCTTGGCTGTCCTATATAATAAAAGGGTAATATGCAAATTGACCCTAAAGATGGAACGACCAGGAATGACTGGCTATGTTGCGCACTGATCACCAGGGGGCAGACGCTTAACACAGGAGCTGTCCCCCTGGTGGTCAGTGTGCTTCCACAGGGGGAGTGCTGCTCAGCCAGAAGCCGGCTCATGGCTGGCCAGCACAGCAGGGGTGGCGGGAGCCTCTCCTGCCTCCGTGGCAGCACTAAGGATGTCCAACTAATGGCTTAGGGCCTAAGCCATTAGACATCCCCCTAGGGTCCTGGGCTGCCGAAGGGCACTGGCTGGGCTGAGGAACACCCCGCCCCACCCCCCCCGGTGCACGAATTTTTGTGCACCGGGCCTCTAGTTGTAAATAACACTGCAATGAACATAGGGGTGCATATATTATTTTGAATTAGTGTTTCAGGTTTCTTCAGATACATTTCCAGAAGTGGAATAGCTGGGTTATAAGGTAGTTTTTAACTTTTTTGAGGTAACGCCATACTGCTTTCCACAGTGGCTGCACCAATCTGCCTTTCCACCAACAGTGCACTAGGGTTTCCTTTTCTCCACGTCCTGGCCAACACTTGTGTGTTGATTTATTGATGGTAGCCATTCTCATTGTAGTTTTAGTTTTCATTTCTCTAATAAATGACATTTAGCATCTTTTCATGTGTCTCTTGACCATCTGTATGTCCTCTTTGGAGAAGTGTCTGTTCAGATCCTTTGCCCATTTTTTAATTGCATTGTTTGTTTTTCCGGTGTTTAGTTGTATAAGTTTTTGTAAATTTTGGATATTAACTCCTTATCAGGTGTATCATTGGCGAATATGTCCTCGCATTCAGTGGGTTGTCTATTCATTTTGTTAATGGTTTCCTTTGCTGTGCAAAAACTTTTTTGTTTAATATAGTCCCATTTGTTTATTTTTTTCTTTTGTTTCTCTTGCCTGAGGTGATAGAAGAAAAATATTTCTATGAGAAATATCTGAGATTTTGCTGCTTGTGTTTTTTCTGGTATTTTTATGATTTCAAGTCTGGCATTTAAGTCTAATTCTTTATTAATTTTATTCTTGGGTATAGTGTAAGAAGGTAGTCTAGTTTCCAATTTTTTGCACATATCTGTCTAATTTTTCCTAGCACCATTTATTGACTAGATTATCTCTATCCCAGCCTCCTTTGTTAAATAATAATTGGCCATAAAGGCATGGGTTTATTTCTGGACTATTTTGATAGGAATTGCTTTGACTTTATAGATTGCTTTGTGTGATATGCACATTTAAACAATATGAAGTATTCTCGTTCATGAGCATAGTATATTCTTTTCTATGTGTCTTCAGTTTCTTTTATCAATGCCTTAAAGTTTTCAAAGTACATAGCTTTTACCCCCTTGTTTAAATTTATTCTTAGGTAATTATTTTTATGCAATTTAGATGGGATTCTTTTCTTAACTTTCTGATATTTCATTATTAGGGTATAAGAATGCACAGCTTTCTGAATACTGATTTTGCATCCTGCAATTGTACTGAATTCATTTATTCTAATAGTTGTTGTTTTTCTATCTTCATCTGAAGATATGTTTCTTGATTTAGAGAGGGAGAGTGAGGGCAGGGGAGAGAAAGAACACCATTGTGAGAGAGAAACATCAGTTACCTCCCATACTCGCCCTAACTGGGGATCAAACCTGCAACCTAGGTATGTACCCTGACTGGGAATCAAACCTGCTACCTTTTGGTGTACAGGATGATGTTCCAAGTAACTGAGGCCACCCAGCCAGTGCAGTTCTAATAATTTTTTAATGGAATCTTTAGGGATCTCTCTATATAACATCCTGTTATCTGAAAATAGCGACAGTTTTACTTTTTTTTTTTACTTAGAAGTCTTTTATTTCTTTTTCCTGTCTCATTGCCATGCTAGGACTTCATATACTATATTGACTAAAAGTGAGGAACCTGGGTGTTCCTGTCTTCTTCCTGATCTGAAAGAAAAAGATGTCTGGTTTTCCCCTTTAAGTGTGACATTCCCTGTGGGTTCTCATATGTCACCTTTATTTTGCTGAGATCTACTCCCTCCCTCCCCATTTTGATGAGAGTTTTTATCATAAATGGGTATTGAATTTTGCCAAATGTTTTTACATACCTATCGATATGATCATGACATTTATTTTTCATTGTATGTCTGGCATATCACATTAATTGTACCACCCTTGCATGCTTAGAATGAATCCCATTTGATCATTGTATATGATGTTATTAATGTATTGTTGAATTTAGTTTGCTAATATTTTGTTGAGGATTTTTTTTAGATAAAAGAATG